TTTACCAGGAATCTGAGTAAACCCTTTGGCCACCAAACGGCCCTTATACCGATCAATAGAGCCATCGGCCAGATATTTAACACTGAATACTGATTTGCAATCAACAGTCTTTTCGCCAGGAGAGAGAAATACAAGCTCCCATGTTTCATTTTGCTACAAAGCATCCATTTCTACCATCATAGCAGACATCCAATTGGGATTCCGGAGAGCCTCAGAGACATTTCTGGGAATGGAAATGGAATCAAGTTTTCCTAGAAAGGCTCGGTAAGACCCTAAAAGACCATCATGAGAGATATACTGCGAAATAGGATGATCAGTACTACAAGCAAATCCAAATGAAGCTGGGGGTTTGCGGTCCCGAGTGGGATACCGAGACTCAGGAATAGGTCAGGGAAATGTAAAGGAGAGAAAGGAGATGTACCTAAATCTGTATCTGGGGAGGATAAAGACAGTGGAGGCGGAGTATGAGGGCGGCGAGAATAGACCTACAAAGGGAGTGAATTTTTTTTTCCTGCAAAGGGAGTGAAGAAACCACAAGAGAAGACTCTTCTTGAAAAATAGGAAGAAGAGGAGAAGCATCTTGATTCGGAGTAGAAGTTTCCTGCAAAATAGTGTTAGAACCATAAAAGGGGTATACTCATGAAAGGTGACACCAAGAGAGTGATACATGTGTTTGTGTACATGATCATAACACCGGTAACCTTTTGACATCGAAGAGTATCCTAAAAAGATACATTTAATGGCCTTGTCATCAAGTTTAGTACAAGAAGGGGTACGATTCTGAACAAAACATGTACATCCAAACACCCGAGGCATGATGGAAAAAAGAGTAATATCAGGCTGAAGCACTTGTAAGGGGCCCTTACCATTTAATACTCTACTAGGGGTACGATTAATGAGAAAAATAGCTGTAAGAACCGTCATGTGCTAGTATGACTTTGGCATATTCATACCACTTAAAAGACATCGAACAACTGACATTAGTTGGCGGTTTTTACACTCTACCACAACATTCTGCTCAGGGGTATATGGACAAGTAGGTTGATGAAGAATACCCTGTTCGTTAAGTTGAGACCGAAACTCATTGGAAACACATTCACGACCATTGTCAGACCTAATATTACTAACATTTTTATATTGAGTTTTGATCATTTGGAGGAATTAAGTGAACAAGTGAAAAACTTCAGATTTCTTTTTAAGTAAATATACCCATGTGCAGCGGAAATAATCATCAATGAATGTGACATAATAACGATTTCCCGAAAAAGCAGTAACAGGAGAAGGACCCCACACATCAGAATGTATGAGATCAAACGTACTAGGTGCACGATGCATATGAGGAATATAACGGGTTTTAGTATGTTTAGAAAGCTCACAAATCTCACATTGAAACTTATTATCCTTACAAGCCGTTATTAATGAAGGGAAAAGCAGACATAAATACTGAAAGTTTACATGCCCAAGGTGAGCATGCCATAAATTTAAAGTCTGAAAAATCATAAGACCTAGAAACTGGAAGAACAGAGGCTTAAAGGCTTGAAGCAAGTGGAGGAGGTGTCGGTGGAATATCCCTAAAGTAATAAAGGCCATCGTGCTTATATCCCCTGCCAAAAATCCTCTTCGAACACAGGTCCTGTAAAACAATGTAATGAGGAAAGAAAATCACTTCACAGTTTAGTAATTTGGCAAATTTGCTAACAGATAGAAGACTAAATGCAAAATTTGGAACATGAAGAACAGATGGCAAAATAATATCAGGGGATAGATGAACATCTCCTTTACTACGAATAATGGTGGTTGACCCAGCGGCTAGACTAATAGCCTGATTAACAGGAGTAGAAAATAATGACAACTCACTAGATCATTGGCTCCGGAATCCAAAACCCAAGTAGGTTTTCCCGCTTTAACATGAAAAGCAGAAGGAGTACCTGTAGCTATAACAGCCGTGGGAATAGAAGAGCACGTAGATAAAGCTGTGAACTGCTCCTAAAGCTGACCAATCTAGAACTGTAACTAATTGAAGTCTTGAAAAGATGGTCTGGGAAGAGTTGAAGCAGGAGGGACAACAAACTGTGGAGTAGTATACCCACCAATAGTATCAGCTACTTGTGGCAGTGCGGTCACGGCCAGAAGGACGATTGCGAGAAAATTTATGCTTTAGCTCGGGATGAAGCTTAAAACAACGATCCTTTACATAACTCATGCCTCCACAATGTTAACAAATAACCTTTCCCTCTAAAAGTCTAGAATTAGCAGCAAGAGCCATCTGATCAACTTGAATCTCGGGTAAAGCTACTAGCTGAGAGATCAGACATCTATGCTCCTCATGGACAACAGTAGCGAAGGCATAATATAAATCAAGCATAGGAGAGGTGATTATGATCTGAGTTCTAAAAGCAACATACTCAGCTCGTAAACCCATAAAAAACTGGTAGGTATGCTAGTGGTCTAGTCTCTTGACCAAAAGAGTTACAGCTTCTTCAGAGAAATAGGAGAGAGGTTCATATTGTGCTAATTCTTCCCACCTAGACTAGAGGTACCCAAAATACTCTGATACTAACAGCTTAAGTGTCTCCTGAGATGCATGAGCAATCTCCTGATAGAGTTCAAAGATGCGGGCGTCATTGCGGGAATAGGCATATATCTTGTTAAATGCTTGCTACAAACAAAAAACGAAAGTGTGAAACATAAACATATTATAGATACACTCGTCCATTGAGTTGAAGATCCAACCCAAAATGGTGCACTTGTCCATGTCCCATGCAATATATTTAGTATCTGTCTTTTTCGGTTCCTTAACTAAACCCAAAAGCAAACCAATTTTCCCTTTCCCTCAAATATAGAGTTGAAGAGAACGGGACCAAGATACGAAGTTGCGCCCATTCAAGGGCACACTAGTAACCCACTGTGTCAGAGTATGATATGCCGAAGATAGAGTATGTTGTACTGAGAATAAAGTGTCCTTTTGGCTGCTAGAATCAGTCATAGTACCAAAATAAGGCTGGTCCACACGTCAAAGCAGGAGGAAAAAAAAAAAAAAGGGCCAAAAGAACCGGCACTTTCCTCCAAATATGCTGCCGAACAAACACCGGCAGCCCACAAAGAAAAAAAAAACACCAGAAGGACCCTTAAGTCATACAAAACCTAGGGGAGTTCTCCTAAAAAAAGGAGTAAAAACAGAGGGTTACTCGAGGGTTCCGGAGCAAGGGCTGGGAGGAGATGGAGGTGAGCCGGAGGTGAGGGAGAATGGAGAGAGGGAGAGAGAAGGTGGCGGCATTAGGGAGGAAGATGGGGAGGCGAAGGTTTTTGTTTTGCTCTGATACCAAAAATAAGAAGTTTTGGGTTTTGGCTTACTCAAACCGAGAGCTAAGAACTATATTTATATACAAGAATAGGGTAGAAAGAAAGGAAACCAAATCAAAGAAAAATAAGAAATATGCCAAAATCTACATGATCCCGTAATTAGATTATGGGGATCTTATCTACGTGATCCCATGATTACGGAGATCTTATTCACGTGATCACATGATAATAGGGATCTTACATAAAATACCTAATAAAAGGTTGAAAATAACTAATAAAAATAATAATAATAATACATATATTTCAACACTGACAATCGCGATGGATAAGAAACCAGTACTTGTCCTTGAAAACAAAACAAAAAAACAAAAAATTAAAATTTTAATTAGGGTGAACTACATTAAACCCCCTTTTTTTATCTGTATTTTTCATTAAACCCCCTTTTTCTATTTTTTTGCCAAAAAACCCCCCCTCAACTATTCAAGGGGGGTGATTTAACTAACGGAAATTAGTTGAAAGAGAACTGAAATATAAATTGATTTAAATACCCATTAAAGCCTATTTGAAATCTACTTAATTTGCTTCTTGTTTTTTTATTTATTAAATAACCTAAACGACATCATTCACATAAATTAACACTTCTATTGTTTTTTTTTTTGTTTTAACATTTTACTAGACTGACAAGTTCACATTAGTCACGTGGAAGGAATTTTTTATTTTTTTATAGAAAAAAATGATATTGAAATATAAAAAATAAAATAAAATAAAAAGAAGAAAACATGTAGGCATAAATATTAATATAAAAAAGGAAAAAAATTAGGCATTATTTCTCGTAGTGTCCCTTTAATAAATCTATATAAAATGAAAATCAATAAAATCCAAATAAATGAATGCACAATATAATTCTCAAATATATATATATATATAGCAGATAAATTTCAATAAAAAAAACCTACATTTATATTGGCCTAAAGGCTGGATGAAAATGAAAATATAGTATAAATTATATTTAATGGTACATATTATATATACCATTATATTATGATACAAATTATATATAATATTATAATGAGAGAAGAGTACGTATTGTTGCAATGGTGGAAAATATGCGGCTAAGAGTGATAACGGAGTAGATATATATGTGAGGGTATATTAAAATAAGTACAAGACATTTTTGTCTAAAAAATATATGAGAAACTAAATGTCCAAATAGCTCCCTTTCAACTAACTTCCGTTAGTTAAATCCCCCCCCCCCCCCCCCCCCCCGGGCGGAATAGTTGAGGGGGGTTTATTGACAAAAAAATAGAAAAGGGAGGTTTAGTGAAAAACACAGATAGAAAAGGAGGGTTTAATGTAGTTCACCCTTTTAATTAAGATAATAACATCCACGCCAATGGATTAACTATTATTTGCTGAAACTTATAAGAATTACTTCGTGTGTGTGTGGGTTGAGTGTGTGGGTGTGTGTGTGAGAGAGAGAGAAAGAAAGAGAGAGAGCGAGAGAGGACAAAATAAAATAAATAAATGAAGTATGTAATTCTGCAACGACAAAGGATATGATAATATGGGGCTTGACTGAGGTCATGGCCTTAGATAGAGCGGAATGGAAACATAGGGCTCGTGTAGCCGACCCCCAATAGTCGGGAAAAGGTTTTGGTTGTTACTGTTGTTGTATTTAATTCTTCAATAAGTAATACCTGGCATGAGTTCGCTTGTAGGAAACATGTTCCGCAGCATATCCTCTCTTTCTACAAGAAAGTCCTCGGCTGTAAGAGAGTCACTGATTCCAGTCTCTTCAACAAAGACCCGAGCAGCTTCTATTGCTTTCTTCCCCATCATTTTGGCCTTGAGAGCCCAATCAAAGGTTTTATTGTATCTAGCTAGTATAGTTTCCTGGACTTCAGTATAGAATTTCTCCGTGTCTGCAACCATATAAACAACGTCAAATTCTAAGTTTCTTCTCTAGAAACCAGTTTAATATATTTGACAAATCAAGCAATTAGACAACTTATTTTTTCAATGAAATGCAAGAGTACAAAACAATGACAAAAGGCAAACAAGTAATATAACCAGATTCTGATCTCCACAATGTTTGGCACAAACCAGTATTCTGTTAATTGGAATAGCTGAACTCAAATGCTAGGATATGTCGATACCACATTTGTCAAATTATGAATCTTATTAAGCATTGCTTTCTTAAACTTTGATCATCTCTTCTATCATATATGTACAGAATAAAAAAGGTAATACTGAAAACGGGAAATGGAATACGATAGTATTGTTCATGTACCAGACCAATCAAGTGATATTCCCATGTCTTTGAAATTTTGTATCAACAAAGGATTCTCCACAACAGAAATCAATCAAAGGTACCAGCCTATCTATCTCATAGATAAACCACTGGATAGTAAATGGGTGCAAAAATATCTTGAAATAATTTTTGAAAATTGCTTCAGCACTCTATATCCTTTTCCAACAAAGGTACTGAGCTACTCAAACGAAAAATAACAATGGTGACTTTTCACACTGTCGTACCACAGAAACTCAAGTGAGTCATACCCAGAAGCTGCCACCTCTTTGTCCCCTACAATTTAAAGCAAGGACGGAGCTACAGCAACTTGCCCCCCCCTCATATTTTTTATACATATACAACTTAAAATTCTAAACCCTTCCCCCCCCCCCCCCCCCCTTCAAAATTTTTATGAAATTTAGAATTCTAAACCAACCCAACTTCTAATCTTTAGCCTCTAATTAAATCTCTTTCTTTTTTCTCTTTGATCACTGGACACTTAATATCTCCATCTTTAATCCTCTCTTTCCCAATGCTATAGGGCCCCCTTTTCTTATTCTATGCGGCTCTCTTTCAACTACCTTTTTTTTTTTTTTTATGGAATCTTACAATCCCTAAGAAGATATGGAAAAAACCTAAATAAAGTATCATTGTCTACTTATCTTTTATTGTATATGATATGATTACACCGGTTATAAAAATGTAAAAACCAATATTGTAAAGTGAAATTTCCTTATTTATTTGGTTTAATCTAATTATCAATTACTTTTCTTTTTTTTTTAAACCTAATTGAAAATAATTCAAATTCCCAATATAGCTACAAGTTTCATTCATTAATTTTTAATTATTGCAAGACAGGACTTTCTAGGTTTGTTGAGTCCAAATAATTTG